AAAAACAGTTGTTCAGTTATCTTAATAAAAATATAATAAAAAGGAGCCCAGTGACTCTCTTCATTTTCAGATACTGCAGTGATCTAGACTTGCCAAACATTATAGACTTGCATGGGCTGTATTTGATATATATTTGTATCAGGGTCTGTAAGACAGACTACAAGTTTTGCGTAGCTAGGTTGTACGGTTTAGGAAATATGCCCCGGACAAACAATGATTACAGACGGACAGACAGACAGACGGGCGGACAGACGGACATACTGATGGCTATTTCCCCCCGTCATTATATGTCGGGGGGGGGGGGGGGGGGGGGGGGGGGGGAGATAATAAGAATAATGTGAGAAAGGATACTTTACTATTCTTGCTTGAAATGGTCTTTTCGCGAATGCGCCGTTGCGTAAAAACATGGCGTAAAAAGTCAAGGACGAAAGTAAGGGAAGTTATAACTGACAATAGTGAACCCTTTGATCGAACAGCAGATATTCAGCATTATTCACGTCTGTTGTATACTGGATCAGTTTGAAAATGCTGCTTATGTTTTTGTTCATGACCAAAGTCACGTAACTGGCGAAAACCTCAACATTACACCTTGAAACACAGAGGAAACAGCGCACACTTGAACTTGTCATTAATGTCAAGCTGGTTATTTTGTTGTGTTATATATGTCTTCAATGTATTACATGAATTATCAACGGAGACAATTATGATATCAAGCTGTTTGTGTGTACATGTAGGTTTGCCGTCATCTCGAAACCTTATAGGCCATGTTCGTGCTGAGGAAATATTGTTCTATAGGGTTACATCTATAACCTGTTACTTTCAGCAGGGAAGGATCGACACAGATGTAAGTAGCTAAAAGCAGTAGTGTACAGGGTAGGTTATTGAGGATCGTGTAAATGGAGAATGAATGCACAGGCCTTCAAGTGTTGCTCTTGTATTGTGAGCATTTCACGTCGGTGTACACCGATAATGGGATTCACACGTTGAAACTCCGTGATACTACCAGTCAGCCATAAATCACACCATTTAGCATTATGACTATCTGAATGGTATGAATACACAATACCATTTAGAAAGTGGTCAGATGTAGCAAATGTTATATTTGGGATAACACTTTCTTTGTAAAGTACAGATTCTCGTCCTTTTTTCGGGATTCGAACCCACACGGTCAGAGTGAGGCACTTAATCGCCATCTGAATGATGTTGTATGGTCAGCAGCTACCCAGTTTTCGTTGCGAAATGGCCAAAGGTGCCACCATTTACAACGTATATGTCAGATCCTTTCCTTTGCAGCTGGGTTTCAGCAAAGAATGAAAACATTAGACATCTACTTCTTGCGTTTCATTTACAATGTCGAACCCAACTCACCAACTGTATGTGTGTAAAAATACACACCAGGAACTGACACTCATTTATGTTTCATGTGATACAAACACAAAAAGATTTCAACAAATACATTGTTACATGGTATTTGAGCCACATGAACGTTAATCAACATATTGTTACAGACTATTTTATTCAAATGGAGTTCAACCGATATTGTGAAAGTATATTTGATACAAACGAATCGAACGTACACACTGTCCAGGATTCCAGACGTGCCCAAAGTTTCTAGGTAAGAATGAGGATCACCCTGATGGAAAAGGTCAACAATGTCTGGCATCCTTGCTGCCAGGTCGCTGTGCTCAGTGGGATCTTCTGTATTCAGGAGACCGCCTCCGTTGTCTAGTGGGAGGGCGTCCTCAAGAAGAGTGGAAGGTTCGGGCTTCGATACCCGGCTGCGTCATGACAAAAGATATATACGGGTCGTGAAACCAAAATTATCTCATCAATAATACTAGCCATTTTGTAATTATCATAAGACTATGGCACCACACTAGCCATTATGAGGATATGCGAACGGAGTCCGTCCGTCAGTCAGTTCGTCCGTCCGCGTCTTAATGTCGACAAATTTTCTCGAAAACTATTCAAGTTAGAGAAATGATATTTTACACACTGATGCTACTGGTCACGGTCTCAAATGAGTTCGAACATAGGTGTCGCACATATGAACAAACAAAATTCTAATGTACCGCATGCCGGGGAATAGTGATAATGCTGTTTACTTGTTAGTAGTACCGTGGTGTGACTTCACAATTAGAACACTCGTCTTGCAGCTTTCTGGCCCTGTATAATTGCGGTAAGGGTTTGCTGCTTATAAATATGGTCGGAATCGTACAAACGACTCTGGGTTTTTGCAGAGAATTTTTGGGAAGGGTTTTGTCGCTTTTATTTAATTTCATATTATGTGAATAAGTTGTGTTTAACGCTTCTTTAAATATTATTTCAAAACCTGGAGTGACGATTGTCTTGATTGAAAGTTTACGGTTTTGCGTTCCCAGTTTCGAAATGTTTCAAGGCAATATTACTTACATCCTTATCATATATGTCAGGTATGCAAATAGGTCATCTGTCCGGTGCAAACGTCGGAAGCTACAAAGTAACATCATTTTACAGATATGTCAGGTATGTCAACAGGTCGTGTGTGGGTATGTGTGTAGCAAGGGTCTGTCAAACAGAGAATGCTTAAAACGGGTATTCTTATCACAATGTGCAAGAATACATTTAATCAAACTAAGCCTTTGGATGATTTTGGAAGCTTTTGAAAGATTGAGAGATTATCAATATTTCCTTCGGTTTGGCTGTATTTGATTCTTTCCCTCGTCTGTTACCATGGGTTGCGGTTTGACGTAGGGTCATCATAACTATTAATAGGGACTACTATGACAAGGAAACTGATTTTCACATATATTTTCCCATAGTACATAAAGGGTTTTACTAGATGCAAATGGGGGTGGTGGGTTGCCTGGTTAAAGTGTTCGCTGTTACCCTGAAGCCTGGGTTCGGTTCTTCACATGGGTACAATGGGTGAATAAACAAGACAAAACCTTTTCTATAATTAATAGATATCTCTGCTTACAGCAGAGTCCATTTACTATTCCGACTATTTCATAAGAATGTGTTTATGAATCACTACCAAAATGGTGCTCGCGAAAAGGCGATCGTATCCTGCCACGTTGGTGAAAGTCATTTCTTATGTTCCTCGTCGTAATATGGCATGGCGAATGCCTCAGCGGCGCACTGACTCCGATAACTCCCCAGGCTCAAATGACGCCCCTATTTGTTTTGAAGAATACAAATGTTTTGACACTAATTGTGCAACAGACTGTGAATGTCGTACACAAATAATATATTTTCGATGATACAGCACAGTATTTTCGATGATTGCACCCCATTTATTTTACATATTGTAAAATTACCAGATGTTTTGCATAATAAGATTTTATGTGATAAATTTGAAGGACATTATCAAGTCATTTCGTGTAAACTGTTAAAATACTGTTACACATTAGGAACTATATTTTCTAACATAATGGCTGGATATGATGTGATATTGACGCTTTACTGCATTATTTGTTTAACTGAGAAGAGATTTGTATTCACTATTCTGTTTGATTTACTAATTTTGTATTTCAAATAATACTGCACCTGATGTTTGATTGTAATGTCTGTAATATTTTAAGAAAGATAATTATATTGGCACTATGACCTGCATGACAACCTTATTTCTTCATGTAAAATGTTAATATGCATGCACGATCATTATGTAACAAAATTAATGGAAATCTGGAGTAGTTTGAGCCTGATACTCAAGAATCGGATATAGAATAGGGGGAGTAGTTTGAGCCTGATATTAAAGGATTGAATATAGAATAGGGGGAGTAGTTTGCGACTGATAGTCAAGAATCGGATATTGAATAGGGGGAGTAGTTTGCGCCTAATATTAAAGGATTGAATATAGAATAGGGGGAGTAGTTTGAGCCTGACATAAAAGAATCGGATGTAATACAGGGTATGTAGTTTGCGCCTGATAATAAAGAATCGTATGTAGAACAGGGGGAGTAGTTTGAGCCTGATGTTCAATAATTGGATATAGAATGGGGGGGGGGGGGGGGGGATGGGGAGATTTAAACCTGATACTTAACAATCGGATATAGAATAGGGTTATTGTTCATTTCATGACATGATTAATTTGGTAAAGAAAAGTAAATATCATTTTGGTAGAAATATTGTTTACAAGATTGCAGATCAAATTATACTTCACTTTAAATATTTACACACCCTTTATGTAATGATTCAGTTGAAATATTACACCTCATGCTATCAAATCGGTCAACAGTGACAATTAAAATAACCATAGTTCACAATCACAGCAGCACTAGTAGATCTCGAGGTCTAATATTTTATTGGGATGTATTTGAGCCCATTACAATTTACATTAAATACACAACTGATGCAAAATTCTGATTTGTTTATGATTGCTAATTCTTATTAGGTTACAATAAGATAAATGAAATCAACATCAATTTAGTTACTTTCTGACATCTATCTAGATATGGTCAAAAGGTCAATATTTTCTACTCGACTTCAAATACAACTTGCAAAATTATTTAAACTCACACCTTCACTAAATCACATAAATAAATAGTTTGGGTTATTGGTGTGTAAACAATGAATTATTCTTTACACGATCCCAGTAGGATTTGTATTAAGTCTGTTCAGCTACCATAAACTGCCATGGGGGTTACCAGGTTGCCATGGATATTTGAAATTGAAATCACAACAAAACAGCCAGACCCACTTGCTAAATATATATCAGTAAGGAGACCAGATAACAGTAGAATATTTTGTCAATGATAAGAATAAGAATAATGTTGAATACTTACGATAAATGTTGCCGTGATAGTACCGGAATGGTTAAAATGTCACCGTTTGTCCCAATTGGGTGCCTTGTTGACATCTCCATGTGTATCATGTGCTATCCAGCCTTCACCTTCTGCTCTCCAAGCCTCGCTTTCAAACCGGAAGTAAAAAGGTCAATAGCCTCTTAATAAGAATCTCTTGTGTTGGATGACCCACATCATGTCCTTGTACATTTTCTTCAAAAAGGACAAAACGTAAAAGCGCTTCATATTTTATTATCAAATGTCAACTTTTGCATGACCCTCCGAAAATATGTGCATCATTTGTCATGACCCTCCATTCGAGCTTGTGACACACTCCTAATACTCCCTGAAATCCACCAACCCACGCAGACCTGGTTAGTCAGAATTTCACCAAAGGACTAGGTAATTGTCCGCAATCAGTCTGACAAGCACTAGGTAGGATGGCCGCAATCAGCCTGACAAGCACTAGGTAAGATTGCCGCAATCAGCCTGACAAGCATTAGGTAAAATGGCCGCAATCAGTGTGACAAGCACTTGGTAAGATGGCTGCAATCAGCATGACAAGCACTAGGTAAGATGGCCGCAATCAGCCTGACAAGCACTAGGTAAGATGGCCGCATTCAGTCTGACAAGCACTAAGTAAGATGTCCGCAATCAGTCTGACAAGCATTAGATGAAAAATAATTAGTACCCCTCTTCGTGATGGTCATATCCAGTTTACACAATCAATGTGAAGAACATTTGTAAAATAGATCCAATTGATTTGCATTTTATTGTTCAGTACCGCCCATCTCGTTTTGTTCATCTGAAGGTAGGGGAACACAATTCACGTTGTCCTTTCATAAAGCTCGCTGTGCTTTGCTTGAATCCATGTCCTGAGATTAGAGAGCGTTCACCCGGCAACGACATCAACAGCCAGGTCAACACCAGCAGCCAGGTACAACATACTACTCAGGAGGGTGAGGGTGAAGGCCCCCGCGAGGTCATAACCGACCAGCACACCCTCTTGCTTTGATTTGATGCCGAAGATGATGATTCCAGTTAAGGTGACTCCAGCTGCAACAAGAAGAGACCCTCACCACGGTTACAGAACACGTCTGAGAAGAGGGCCTTCAAAGGGCAGAAGTATTGTTAATTACCACTAAAGCATTGCGATTGGTTTCAAGTAGCTTTTCGGCCAAGTGTCATTTTATTGTTGAGGCAAGCTCAAAGGGACCAATGAACATAGGTTTAGTGTTAATAGATCAAAGATAACCGATCATGGCAAGATTAAGGGTGGCAACTCTAGTACTACTCTAACCTGAGTCGGTCACAGAGCATGAGCATTGATCTACGCAGAGGTAAGATGACCGCAATCAACCTGACAAGCACTAGGTGAGATGACCGCAATCAGCCTGACAAGCACTAGGTAAGATGACCGCAATCAGCCTGACAAGCACTAGGTAAGATGACCGCAATCAGCCTGACAAGCACTAGGTAAGATGACCGCAATCAGCCTTACAAGCACTAGGTAAGATGACCGCAATCAGCCTGACAAGCACTAGGTAAGATGACCGCAATCAGCCTGACAAGCACTAGGTAAGATGACCGCAATCAGCCTGACAAGCACTAGGTAAGATGACCGCAATCAGCCTTACAAGCACTAGGTAAGATGACCGCAATCAGCCTGACAAGCACTAGGTAAGATGACCGCAATCAGCCTGACAAGCACTAGGTAAGATGGCCGCAATCAACCTGACAAGCACTAGGTAAGATGACCGCAATCAGCCTGACAAGCACTAGGTAAGATGGCCGCAATCAACCTGACAAGCACTAGGTAAGATGACCGCAATCAGCCTGACAAGCACTTGGTAAGATGGCCGCAATCAACCTGACAAGCACTAGGTAAGATGACCGCAATCAGCCTGACAAGCACTAGGTAAGATGACCGCAATCAGCCTGACAAGCACTAGGTAAGATGGCCGCAATCAACCTGACAAGCACTAGGTAAGATGACCGCAATCAGCCTGACAAGCACTTGGTAAGATGGCCGCAATCAACCTGACAAGCACTAGGTAAGATGACCGCAATCAACCTGACAAGCACTAGGTAAGATGGCCGCAATCAGTCTGACAAGCACTAGGTAAGATGGCCGCAATCAGCCTGACAAGCACTAGGTAAGATGGCCGCAATCAGTCTGACAAGCACTAGGTAAGATGGCCGCAATCAGCCTGACAAGCACTAGGTAAGATGGCCGCAATCAGTCTGACAAGCACAAGGTAAGATGGCCTGTTGCGACCCGGATATACACGGGATCCAACATTAAACGCTGCTACTCAAAATGAACAACGAATAGAGGTTCGTCTGTTTGTATGTTCTCTCATGAGAGTGAACTGTCTTTTCAAATTACATACCTGCAGCTAATGTGAGAAACATACTAATAATCTTGAAACGTCTGTTGTGAGACATGTTTGCCACGTGCAGCAGGATTAAGATGCAGCCTCCGACACCGCTGAAGAACCCGAGGAAGACAAACGCCTGCACAGCAACCATCCAGCTCATGCCCATTGCGATATCTACAGAAAACAGGTGATGTGTAGTCAGATGTCGTAAAATTAGTTACGTACGCGTTGAAAACATCTATAGTATTGGCCAAAGGTGACTGTCATATTGTTTTCTTGATCAAGTTGTGATTTGTAAAGAAGCACTCTTTAAACTCTTCACTTTTTCTTGATTTGTATTGGTTGAATTGGTCAACAGATTGACCCGATAGACACTCGAAAACTTCTTTATACTTTGAATGAGACGGTTTGTTACAGATTCTGGTGTAGGTGGTCTTCATTGATAAAGATTCTAAAGGACATTTAAAAATACGAATTGGTAGCATGTGACCACATTTATGTTAGACTCACTAATCATAATTGATCCGGTAGTTTTTTAATACATTTCATTTAATATCACATTGTTAGCAATTCGGATATAGCCGATTTTGATATGATATGCATACTTCCGGGCGGCTAGACATTTTATATGCGATCCCACCATGAACAAATCAAAGTAACACTTTGGTTCAAAACACTGTCTGGTCAACCAGCCACAATGTCTATATTTGAATCATAAATCTTTCTTTAAGTGGCGGCTTTCATTTTTAAGGTTATGAACAACCCGAGTCTTATTGTGACATCCTACTAGACTTTCAGACTCAGTCCATCAGCCGGTCCGGTGTTCAATAGTTAAAGGTCAGACGAACGGACAAAATGTCATGGCATAAGTTCATTCAGATTTCGGGCCGGGTGAGCTAATACGTGAACTAAAAATGAATAAAAAACTATCTTTCCTACCTATTTTAATAGAAAATAATGATTTGCCTGTCCCATATAGATACTTACATTCCGATGTGCTGAATGCCGTGCAAATCTTGCCCCACGAGCAGGATTGGAACAAACCCACATTAGTATCCGTCAACGCACCGGTAACCTCAAGCGTCTTCATCATCCAATAGGGTGTTGGAAACGCAGCAATGTCAAACAGCACGGCAAGAATGGATATTCCAAGTCCTACTTTTGACAGTGTCGATGCTTCAGAAAACGCCATTTCCCTTTCATACAAAAAAATTATATACAGGGAATTCAAGATGAAGAAAAAACAGAAATGAAACATACAAAAAAGCCTGCCGTTTGTGACGAAATCTGATTTTCTACGATAACGTCAAAAGACGACAGAGAGGTTACACACATACGCATAAAGGGGTCATAACTCCGTTATTCTTAGCCCTAGGTCACTTGGTGAGAATTAGCTGTGGATAAGGATAATATATTTTCGTGGTATTTTGTTCACGAGGAACCAAACTTCCAACACAAATATCGATATTGAAACTGCATATGTGTAGGTATAAAAATAACGTAAGAAATTATGAAATCGTACTTCATAAAAAGGAAGTAATAGCGAAATGGATGGCCCTATCTAACCTACTAATTAGTCCTTAGATTCCAACATTCTCTGATTGTGTAATTGTAATTTGACTTATGTTGCACCATTCAAATTGGAGAACTAGCCTTTTCACCAAATTTAATGAATTACTGAAAATGTGACACCATTTTATTTGTCGTCGTGGCTGGGTTTATGTCTTTGAAAACGTCGGAGAAAGACGACATTGGTATTTTAATTAATATATATCTCCCCTAATTTTCGTTCATAGTATGGAAAATGTCAATGAGTAGAACGGCATATGACGGTTTTTCGACTCAACATAAAATGAATGCTTTTATCATTAAAATTATGTCTTGAATACCTAAACCATTTAGTTTACCGTGTATATTGATTAGACAAGACACACGTCTGTTTGGCATAAATCTTACGTAATCAAATACCCAAAAGAATATTTTGAAACAAACAAAATTATCTTCAATACTGGACATGTCTTTGCTAATTATTATGTGATTATTTCTCTTTATCTCGTCTCAAAATAATACGATAGGAAGGATGCGAAGAAAGCTTCTTTGGTGTAGAATTATCAGGATAATCGTATAAGGTTCGACCAACAGTGTACATGTCACGGTTTATATATTTTATACTTTTTTTTACACTTATTGGAGAAAATAAAAAAAATCATTTTAATTCACACAATATTTACACTTGTGAGAGAGGTACTCAAAGTACGTGTTCAAGACTACCAGTTGTCGTACTGTCATGTTTGTGGAAGCCTCGGTGCCTGACTGGGTTTAGATCGCTGCCTTTGGGTGCTGGCGATGAGGTGTCTCACTCTGGCAAGTGTGGGTTCGAATCCATAACGCGACTCAACCCCCCCAAAAAGTACGAGAACCTGTACTTTACTAAGAAAGTGTTATCCCAAATATAACATTTGTTAAATTTGACCACTTTCCAAATGGCATTGTTTATTCATATCTTTTTTCAATTTTCCTAATTCTTGCTACCATTCTCTCTCCATGCATATTCTGTTAATGTTGAACCAATTTCACACCTAATTTATATTGCATGTTTTCATCTAGACACTTTTTAGAGTGACAAAGACCATTTGTCATTTGATTCTAAAATGTATGAGGAACTTAAGGAAGTATGTATCACAGCTGAGTTTGAAATATACGTGATGTTAAAGGCGTCTCATTACCGGTGTCCCGGTATAAACTCTCCCCCGTACAAATTCTCCCCCCGGAGATTTTATACCAGTACAGATTCTCCCCCGGAGAATCTGTTCTGAAATAAAATCTCCCCCGGGCGCATATATTTCGCGCCCCCCTCAGTATAAAGTCTCCCCTCTGATTATTCGGTTTGTTGCAATGTCTTTAAGTACTATATTCTTTAAGTAGTTATCTTTAATGTAAGGAGGGTTACTTTCAAAAATAGATTATGAAATATGGTCATAATGAATTGATATTTCAGCATATTTTATTTGGTAACTGAACCTTCCATCCTAAAATAATTATAAGACATAATCATACCAAACAAATTTGAATGAAATGACTTAATGTGACAAATACATGTACGGTTACTGTCGTAACTGAAATTCAGAAATCTTATTAATCCTCGCAAACACTAACTACTTAAAAACTGTCAACATATCCACGCGCGCCTCCAGCTCAGGCTGTCCGTTATACTCTGATTTAAGATTTGAAAATGGTATCAATGTAGGTGAGGTGAGGTGAAATTGGTTTAAGGTCGCGTCAAAGATTATTGCACTTATATAGCGACGTGCATGCACGCGTGTGCGTGTGTGTGGCTGCTTGTACTAGTCCGGACTGATGCCGATTTATAGTGCTAGCTCACTGAGATACCATGCCGCAGTTTAACATGAATACCCCACTCAGACACAGTATACTGACTCCGAGCCGACCAGTCCTTGCTTTAAACATACAACATAATAAGTATCTAATTCAGCACTGATTAAATCTACTTTGTCTTTAAGACAGCGTACGTTTAGATGTATAATCTTTAAATCTGGACTTTGCAAAGGTCCTGGATTCGGATGGATATCACCGCATCAAAAGAGAAAAAGTAAAACTAAGATTGATAATCGGAAATTATATAAGCAAAGTAACCCAAAATATAGAGAAATGTGTATCATCTTCCCGAAATGATTAGCATGTAGAATAGATTCTAAAACACCCTTCGCCAGCTTGTATTGACCGGCATCGTCAAAGCAAAGTGCACATGTAATTGTTACAATCGGGCTGGCGGTGAATCTTAATGAAAAACACCTTGTTAAAAAGACACATCGAAACTGACTTGCATAACTGATGACCACAACATATTGCAAAATCTCAAAACAGTAAAAATGATACAGTATAACCTCAAACTCAATCGCCAGCTGTCAATATACAAAACAGAATAATACATCAAGATGACAGTTTTCATGTAAAGATTTACGTATTTCTAAGCAAATTAAAGATACATATATCTAGATATTGTGCATATCTTTAAGTTGCTTAGAAATACTTAATCTTTACATGGAAACTGCCATCTTGATGTATTATAATGTATTGTATATTGACAGCTTGTGATTAAATGTTACCAGATGGCTCCAGCTGGGGTAGCAGACGACACACTTTCCAACAATGGGGAAAAGGGTAAAAATATGAGTAAGCTGGATATCATCGAGCAGACGACTCACCAGTCTAAGATGTATTGAAAAAACACACACTTAATTCTCTACCTTATCTAATGTTAATTCAACAATTTATCATATACTTAGCAGTGGGATATTCTGATAATAATCTCTCATAATTCTATTGAATGGTTCTGTACATTCTATCAATGTTTATTTGTACAAAGCTGTTTTATGTATGTACAGAAGTGAGACATTAATAAACTATTGTCTGTCTGTCTACAATGTCTACCGTTCAATTTAACCGATTACACACGCATGGCAAGTATTTATTAAACGACCAAAGGAGGGGGGAGAGTTTATTTCGAGAGGGGCGGAACTGTACCGGTATAAATTCGCCGGGGGGAGATTTTATTCTGGGGGCGAATATATTTCGTGACACCGGCATACGTGAAACGTGATTATGTACACACTCTCTTATATGGCGGAAAGTTCATTTCGGCGTTCGTGTTTGCGTATTTTCCAAAACATTCCAAACGATTCTCAAAGTGAGGGTTGAAGAGGAGGGACATGTCCCTCTGGCACCCTTGGGGGGGGGGGGGTGGGGGGGGGGGGGGGGGGGGGGGTGGGGGGGTGGGGGGGGTGGGGGGTGGGGGGGAGGGGGTGGGGTGGGGGAGGGGGGGTGGGGGGGGGAGTAGTTCCCCCATTTATCGTATATATTCTTCAGGTGCTATTTAAAACACATCGGAACTTTCACTATTATACAATATGATTGACCACATTTAACTGTATCTTGGGTATATATTTCAATGCAAGACATGTAAGACCAATCATCATTCCTGAGGGATTCTTTGATCGAAGTACTTGAAGTCACACGCGCGTGCTGATTGGTTTGTCGTATTTTCGCACATAACATTCATGGATAGGGGGACGAGTCTTCTTGCAGGGTTACGGAAAGGGGCGAGTGGTGACGAATGCTTAATGTGGGAGGAAAGCCCGATCAGTGATGCGGATCTCAGAATCAGGTCGAACTGGGATTCAGCCACGATCATGAGTTGAGAATTGCGGCGCCTTCGACAATTGAGCCATTCTCATCCAAACAATGTCATAACCCTTATACAAGATAGCTTTGTGGAAAAAGGACAACATTAATTGTAACACATGTCTCACTCAACGCAAAGGTATCACAAATTTTATCGAAATAATATTATTTTTATGAGTGCGGATTGACACTTTCTAAATTTTCCGTTATTTTGTATTTACTTCTATGTATACAGTAAACATTTGAAAATTAAACCGTAAGTGAATGCTTCGTCATTTTAAGTATTCATAAACATAGGTTCAATTACTTTTCATCGCACGTGACATATATGTTATCAATCATATTTTTAATGTTATACTTCAGACGTTACCTGGAGGAGATTCCGAACAACCTATACTAGTCGTAAGAGGTGATTAAATGCATCGGGTATCTGACTTGTATGTCATCGTACCCCAACACTTGACACTTGATATTTCATTGATGTGAACATAACGCTTTGACGGAACTACGTTCAAACAAGAGTTACCTCCCCATCAAAATGTCTCCCTTTATCACAAGTGACACAAACTGTTGACTGCCTTCTTACGTTCGTTCCACATTGACAAAGCCAAATAATGACAGATGGTCGTTTATGGAGTTAATATCGCTTGATGCCGTTTGTTATTCTCTTGAAAATATTTCGTTATAAACTGTAAATTTATCATTTAACTCGTCAATCGAGACTGTTCGTTTCGCAAAGCGCCATTTTTGTTACTTGGCCAGCGTGTATTCCTTCGTAGTCTTGTAGCTTTCAAGAATATATTTTTAAGTAGATTTTGTTATTTGTTCAAATCCAAATGTATGATAAAGAACTTTTGTGACCTCAATTGATTTTTATTAATTTTGTTTATATTTTGTTTTTGTAAACTCGGGACTATTTTTTAAGTCGCAATTACAAGAGGTGTTGTCACGTCCCTGCTTGTTAGGTAGGAGAATTTACGTTTCACGGTTTTACATTGGTAATGAAACGAAATAAGTTGCCGGTAGACAACTACACAAAAAGAAAATAATAAATAGGATATTTCATCTGTCTCATGAAATATCATGTTTCTCTCATCTCGTGACAGGGGAAAGATGTTTTCACTCGTGGATACGCCAGTCGTGAAACTATCGCCTTTCACTCAATAAAGTAACGTGATATTTTACTCTACACATGAATAACTGTATATGAAGGATTGGATCTACTAACCACTAGATGTATTTGCAATATCCTCATGACGATCAGAAAACATATGTACTGATAAACCACTTCACTCACCTCTACTGCCGCTAACGTGTCTCCACATCTGCTATGCGGACGTTGTAACGTTAGACTTATTGCAGTTGAATGCTCAAGAATATGCATTGATCTCTATTGTGTGTCTAACTAATGTGCAGTGTTAGGAATCGACTGAGATCTAAAGGCTTCATGCATGCCGTGTGACTGAAAGGACTATCGACTATGAATTGACCGCATGACTATATGTGGATATGTTACATTCAGTTGTGTCCTTTCTCCCATGTCTTCACTTCAGGACAATATGTGGTCATTTAAGAGGGGATGGCAAACATTGCTTTCATATTATGATATTTCTATTACATTAGAAGAGTTGAATTTTCACACGGGTTAATTTGTTATATAGTAGGGATAAAGAAGGGAATGTTGCAATGATCATGTTTAGTAAATCAATACATCTTACTTCACATGTAGGTTTGGACAAAGTAGCATTGTGCACGTGTACGGTTTGCGGGACGTGTGTCATTTGTATTATCAGCAGGCGCAACATATTGCCTGTCTCACAAACGTCATAAAACTTTGTAAAATCGAGCAGTAAATGTAATCCAAATTTCAATATTTAACAACGATAAGTGCATTTGGTGTTTACAACTTTTAGGAAGGAATGCACATTAATGTTTCGTAGTCCAGAGTGATTCAGAGATAGTGAGTTGGGTTTAACGCGTAGTCCTGTTATATCAAATGCGTTTATTATATCACGGGTTGTTAGCTTGATGTGTGAGAAAAAAAAATGTCATTAATAATTTACTGAAGAAAAACATTTAGATCGGGAGACTGAAGGTGTCATTAACGACTTGAAGGATAATTAAACAAGTGCCCCTGATAGAATTGAAGTTTTACTTGAAGTCACTTACTGATATCCTGTCTTTCTATCATGTGTAACAGTATCATGTCAACAGATATTTCCCAATAGATTGGGCGAAAGGGATAACTGTACCACTTACGAGAAAGGCAGTACAAAGTGTGTTCACAATTTTGAGGTTTTTCACTTTTAGATATTTTTCGAAAAATATTCTCTTCAATTCTTATTTAACCTCTTTTTGCGAGTATATGTGAGAAGATTCCGGAAGCTCAAGCAGGATTTAGAAAAGGTTACTGTACAGCTGTCAATATATTCACATTGAGGTCCTTCAGAATAATATTATCAAAGAGTGGCGATCGTTTGTATTAAAACTTCTCTGGTATGCATTAATAAAAAAAATATGTATTGAAAGATAAGTTAATGTGATAAACAACATGTACTCTAAGATCATGTCTGCCATGAGGGCGACTGACACATCAATCAGGTATTACTTCGAATGTCTAAGTGGAGTCCGGCAAGGATGTGTACTGAGTCCCTTCCTCTTCACAATGTTTATCTCTGAGTTTCCAAGATATGAGCTATGTTTCCAGGAGTTAGCCAGGATGTTGGTGATATTTCGCAAATGTCAAACAGAGCCTTGCAGATTGGCCTTGACGCACATGTCTCCATATCATGTCCTAGACTTGTTCAATGTGGGAAATTAAAGGACTGGGCTCATTGCTGTCCCTGGCATTCTATGGATGTTGTGTTGAGCTTTGACGATTCGTGCACGGGGATCACGGGCGTTGTCGTCCTGAAAGATGAAACGTCGCCCCACACGTCACACGGAACAACAAAGGGTGTCAGTATGTTGTCCCGATAGTACTGTTCAGTGACCCTTCCGTGTCGACATGGTGTGGGATTCGCTCAGTAAAAGTGATGCCACCCCACACCATTACCGATCCACCGCACACCATAAACCTATGATTGTGGGTTCAAATCCTGGTTTTAAAGTTTTTGAAATTTGATTTTTTAAGGCCCAGTCGCCTGAGGCACGGCATTTCGCAGTGCAGAGTTGCGTCCCTTGGGCACGCAAGAAACGTAGGATGTGGGTTCGGAATCCGGTTCGCCCCGATAATGTTTCCAGTTTGTAAGCACGCTGGTTTCATCAAAGTGGTAAACGTCACCTCAGGCTTTCCTCCCACATTATTATTACTGGAACACTGTTAAAAGCGGCGTTAAACCCAACTCACTCACTCACTCACTATTTTAATATTTCACGAGTTATCTCTATTTTATTTTACGTACGCTTCATCTTTCACCCTTACTCCTGGTTGTCTTATTAGCATTACCTCGTGCACATACCTGGGGTGTGAGGTGGACACTTTCAAATGTAACTTGTCACGCCACAGCCATTTGATGCCATTTATATCTTTCACAGAGAATAAATATTTTCAAACCATCTTCACCGCCTCAGTCCACTCGACTGCATCGTCGGCAAGTGTCAAAGTTAGGAATGACACCCTGTAAATGTGGCGCTACTGCATGTGGCACCTGCAAACTATAGGACGTGTTTTGGGGCTATGTTTTACAGACAATAACCTTCTTGAATAGGATGTTTGTCGTCCACACCTATTTTCATTCTAATACATGGTATTAACATTTAAATTTCATGATCCTCTACATTTTTTCAAGAGTATTATAGAAGGGAAATAACGTGACTGCGACGTTAAACCGCCTTAGTTTTAGTTCTGTCACATGTGTAAAGAAGTTCGTAACGATTTTTCAAACACGCTTTTGCAGCAGTTTTTTCCTTGAAAGTAATTTAAAACGCCGCAGCCGTTATATTAAACGAGGAAACACGCTCATTTCTGCGAATCAGAAGCCCTCGTCAGTGAATGTCAAGGTCAACCAGATAACAGGTCTCAAGGCGTAAGCTATTTGTTCAAGTGGGTCGTGCTTTTTGTGTTAAGTTGGCAAGTGCATAGAGGATAACTGTCAAGGCACGATAATATCGATCAGTGAATTTTTAATGTAGAAAAAAAAAATCGTCTTTTTATTGGATACTGCTTGGATATTACACGGAGTATTGCATGGATTAATGAATGGAATACGGCATGGTTTACTGCGCATTATACTGCATGGGGAAGTGGATTGGTAATAACATGGTATGCAGCAAACGAAAATCCATGAATGTTGGGGATATGGTATGCAGCATACGAAAATCCATGAATATTGGGGATATGGTATGCAGCATACGAAAATCCATGAATATTGGGGATATGGTATGCAGCATACGAAAATCCATGAATGTTGGGGATATGGTATGCAGCATACGAAAATGCATGAATGTTGGTGATATGGTATGCAGCATACGAAAATGCATGAATGTTGGGGATATGGTATGCAGCATACGAAAATGCATGAATGTTGGTGATATGGTATGCAGCATACGAAAATGCATGAATGCTAGGGATATGGTATGTAGCATACGAAAATCCATGAATGTTGGCGATATGGTATTTAGCATACAAAAATGCATGAATGCTAGGGATATGGTATGTAGCATACGAAAATCCATGAATGCTAGGGTTATGGTATGTAGCATACGAAAATCCATGAATACTAGGGAAATGATAGGTAGCATACGAAAATCCATGAATGCTAGGGCTATGGTATGCAGCATATGAAAATCAATGAATGCTAGGGAAATGATAGGTAGCATACGAAAATCCATGAATGCTAGGGATATGGTATGCAGCATACGAAAATGTATGAATGCTAGGGATATGGTATGTAGCATACGAAAATCCACGAATGCTAGGGATATGGTATGTAGCATACGAAAATCCATGAATGCTAGGGAAATGATAGGTAGGATACGAAAATCCATGAATGCTAGGGTTATGGTATGTAGCATACGAAAATCCATGAATAATAGAGAAATGATAGGTAGCATACGAAAATCCATGAATGCTAGGGCTATGGTATGCAGCATATGGAAATCAATGAATGCTAGGGAAATGATAGGTAGCATACGAAAATCCATTAAAGCTAGGGATATGGTATGCAGCATACGAAAATGTATGAATGCTAGGGATATGGTATGTAGCATACGAAAATCCACGAATGCTAGGGAAATGATAGGTAGCATACGAAAATCCATGAATGCTAGGGATATGGTTTGTAGCATACGGAAATCCATGAATGCTAGGGAAATTATAGGTAGCATACGAAAATCCATGAATGCTAGGGATATTGTATGTAGCATACGAAAATTCATGAATGCTAGGGATTTGATATGCAACATACTAAAATCCGTGAATGCTAGGGATATGGTATGCAACATACTAAAATCCGTGAATGCTAGGGGTATTGTATGTAGCATGTATGCCCCTGTTGATCAACATTTATTGCAACTATAGTAGCTACAAGGCGGGATTTCTGCCTATATAGACAGACATTTATTGCAATTATAGTAGCTACAAGTCCGGATCTCTGCCCCTGTTGATCAACATTTATTGCAACTATTGCAACTTTGTCCATGTAGACCAACATTTATTACAACATACGATATGTACCCTCCCCTTCTATTGTTCTGAGTGATGTATAACATACGATATGTACCCTCCCCTTCTATTGTTCTGAGTGATGTATAACATACGATATCTTCTCTCCCTCTCTATTGTTCTGAGTGATGTATAACATACGATATGTACCCTCCCCTTCTATTGTTCTGAGTGATGTATAACATGCGATATGTACTCTCCCTCTCTATTGTTCTGAGTGATGTATAACATACGATATGTACCCTCCCCTTCTATTGTTCTGAGTGATATATAACATACGATATGTACCCTCCCCTTCTATTGTTCTGAGTGATGTATAACATACGATATGTACCCTCCCCTTCTATTGTTCTGAGTGATGTATAACATACGATATGTACCCTCCCCTTCTATTGTTCTGAGTGATGTATAACATGCGATATGTACTCTCCCTCTCTATTGTTCTGAGTGATGTATAACATACGATATGTACCCTCCCCTTCTATTGTTCTGAGTGATATATAACATACGATATGTACCCTCCCCTTCTATTGTTCTGAGTGATGTATAACATACGACATATACCCTCCCCTTCTATTGTTCTGAGTGATGTATAACATACAATATGTACTCTCCCTCTCTATTGTTCTGGGTGATATATAACATACGATATGTACCCTCCCCTTCTATTGTTCTGAGTGATGTATAACATCCGATATGTACTCTCCCTCTCTTTTGTTCTGAGTGATGTAAAACATACGATGTGTACCCTCCCCTTCCATTGTTCTGAGTGATGTATAACATACGATATGTACC